TTGATTTTGGCAACTGGTGCAAACGTCTCCTGGTAGTCAATTCCATATGTTTGTGTATATCCCTTGGCCACTAATCGAGCTTTGTATCGGTCTATGGATTCATTTGTGTATATCCCTTGGCCACTAATCGAGCTTTGTATCGGTCTATGGATCCATCAGCTTTGTATTTAACAGTGTATATCCACCGACATCCAACTGGTTTCTTCCCATGTGGTAAAGGAACCATTTCCCATGTAGAATTCTTTTTCAAAGCTTCCATTTCAATTGCCATTGCTTCAGTCCATCTAGAATCTGTCACAGCATCCTGCCATTTACTTGGAACACATACAGTAGATAATTGATTGACAAATGATGCATATGACTTTGACAATCTATGGGTGGACACATGGTTATTGATGGGGTATTTAGATTTAGCATTAAGGTCAGGGCAATATTGAGGTTTAGGTTTTCCCCTAGTGGATCTAGGTGGAAGTGTATATGGTGCAACATTAGGTGGTTCAGTGGTTACCTCAAGTACTTCTTCATCACTAGACGAATGATGCGATGGCAGGGCAGGAGGGGTTGTATTTTGTAGTTGATCATCAGGGACATCTTGATCACCTTCTGGTTCCATAGTCTCAAGGTCTTCACTAAGGTCAGGACTGGACAGATCATGATTTTCTTCAGAATTTTCAACTCTGTGAAAAAGCGACCAGTCGCTGGGTTCTTCACGACCGGTCGCCTGGGGAATTTGAATTGTATTCGTCTCTGTGTAAAAACGACCGGTCGTAAATGTGTCGCAACCGGTCGCATGGGGCACTTCGCGACTGGTCGTCAATGGATCGTGACCGGTCGCCTGGGGCACTTCATGAGAATCTTCAACTCTGTGTAAAAACGACCGGTCGCAAGTAGGGTGGCGACCGGTCGCCTGGGGTACTTCTCCGTTTTCTTCAGCATTTTTTTCGATATTCTCTTCAAATGACAAGTCCTTCTCTTCACTCCCCCTCTCCCCCTGAAGAGAAGGGGTCTTGGAAACCATAAAGTAAGCCAAATCTTCATGAAAAGTGGTATCCATAGTGACAAAGAGTTTTTGAGTAGGAGGATGGTAACACTTGTATCCTTTTTGATTCAAGCCATATCCAACGAACACACATCGGAGGGCACATGGATCCAGCTTACTCCGTTGATGAGAAGGAACATGAGCATAAACAACACAACCGAACACACGAGGAGGCAACTTGAGGATGGTAGGAAGAGAGATGTGATGAGCCAAGGTATCTAGTGGAGTTTGGAAATTCAGAACGCTACTAGGCACCCGATTAATCACATAGACTGCAGAGAGAATAGCATGACCCCATAAGTGATGAGGAACAGATTTATCAAGCATATAGGCACGGGCAACTTCAAGTAATTGGCGATTCTTTCGTTCGGCGACACCATTTTGTTGTGGAGTGAAGGGTGTGGAGGTTTGATGGATGATGCCTTGGTCCTTGAAGAATTGAGCCAAGGAACCATTCACATACTCCCCACCATTGTCAGACCGAAACACTTTGATGGATGCTTGGAACTGAGTGGTGATCATAGCATGAAATTTGCGGATTGTGGTGGTAACATCACTTTTATGGGAGAGCAAATATACCCATGTCATGCGGGTACAGTCATCTATAAATGTAACAAACCACCTCTTGCCAGTAGAAGAGACTTTAGCAGGGCCCCAAACATCGGAGTGAATCAACTCAAAAGGAAATTCTGTTTTACTATCACTTGAGGGAAATACAGTGTGATGGCTCTTGGCCAACACATATGTTTCACACTTAAACTGAGAATCAACTAAGCCTTGAAATAAAGATGGAAACAACCGTCGAAGGTAGCCAAACGATGGATGTCCTAAGCGACGATGCCATAGCCAAATCTGTTGTTGAGCACGTGAGTTTTGAACATGGACAGCTCGTGGTGGTGATGAGACCGTCAAGGTATACAACCCCCCTCTCCGTTTACCATGCCCAATCGTCTCGTGAGTCGTAAGGTCCTGAAACTTACAATGAGAAGGATAGAATGTGGCATAACAATTATGTGAGTCAAGGAATTTCCCAACAAACAACAAATTGCATTTAATAGAGGGGACAAGTAGTGTATGAGGTAAGGACAATTTAGGGGAAAGTGATATAGTCCCTTCTCCAGCAACATTAGAAGGAGCCCCATTGGCACTAGTGATGTAAGGATAATGAGATTTAGGAGATAAGGTGGAAAAAATGTTAAGCTCATAATTTCATACATATACATGCCCAATTTACTTGTAGTAGAGCGTGTACCTGAGTCGGGGTTGGAGTCGGAGAGTAAGGCAGGAGATGGAGACTCACCGGTAGTCATGACATAAGCAGTCTTGGGTGCCATGTTGCGGGTCTTGTGTGAAAGTATGGATACGTAAATGCAGCGGAAGATTTCAAGAACACAACAGGGGTACAACAGAACCAAGTAACCAAAGGAACACAAGTTTGAATTATGCAAGGACAAGGTTAAGTAGAGACAAGGTTTAAGCAAACAAGCTTAGAGTTTCAGCAAACAAGAGCACAAATTAGGATTGTGATCACAACCAATTTTAAGGCAAGGCAAAGTATGAGATAGGAATGATATAACAGCAAATTATGGGCAAAGATAGGTAGAGATTAGGCAAGAACAAGGTTATGCAGAGGCGACCAAAATCGATTGCTCTGATACCATGCCAAAGATAGTGTAATTGAGAGAGTAGAGAATGTGAAATAAGAGAGGTTTTGCAGAGAATGCAAATCTAATTTTTCTCATTTCTCATATTGAATATATATCTACAAGTATAGACAGAGCTAGAGATAGCTATCCGTTGGTTACAATACAATACACAATAAATTACAATCTCCAAAGCATGAATTATGTTTCCATGTTTCTAGCTTGTTGTGTTCCCCTAAAACATGGAAAGGTGGTAGACAAGCTTTTCCATGTTTCTAGCTTGTCTCAAGTCATTGTCAACACTAACTTCATGGGGAGACACTACCTAACCAGCATGTCCAAAAGAAGCACCAGGTCTGAACAAATGCAAGGGTTTAAAGGCATTGCAATGGCTTCTTACAGCTCTAGTAGTAGAATACTTATCCTCACACACCTACGACAAGAACTCGACTGTCTATCCCCTCTCCAGGCTTAGGATACTTTGAACCAAAAGAAAGAATATGACAATTTCACTACACTATATTTAGTTTGAATTTAGCATTCTTTATATCAATTTATAAAATTGATGGTTTCAGTTTATCTTCATGGTTTGAATTTACCATCACATATTGGCATAGTAGACTTATTTCCTTTGAAGAATTAAAAAAGGAGATTGAAGTTTCTTTTTTAGTATCCAGGTACACATGCTTGTAGAATCGTGTTACACATTCTTGATGAACTGTTTGAGTGCTTGTGTTTCTAAAAGCATACTAGAGATAAGTTGACCTGTGCCCATCCGTTACGTTTATGGAGTGTATAATCCATATTGTGCGTAGCAAATGATACGTTGAATAGTGATTAGCATCAAATGCTTCGCCAAATTGGTTCAAGTACTGAAAGAATTTTTAAAGCTGCAGTTAAGTTGCTATTAACATGTCATTTCATTTGGCTTTTAGCATTTATTGTTCATTTAATTATGGTGTAGTATCTATTTGGTAGGATAGATAGAAAATGCTAATGGCCAACGCAATCATAATGTGTTCTGATAAGAATGAAAGGAAAAGGAAAATAAAGGTAATCTAGTTTAGTTTGTAGCCAGAGCATTCAGTTCGGGTTGGTTTACTGACTAACAGTAAACAGAAATTTTAACCAAGAACTTGTGTATGTAGTCCAAACAAATCTCTGCTTGTGCCTGCTCTCTCCCTCTCTACTGGTCCTGCTACTTGAGTTTGCTTGAGTTTGCTTGTGTTACTGCTTTCATCATATCACTAATTCAATGTTCCTACAAAATTAGATGCCTTATAGATTTTCAATTTGCATAATTTTTGCAAGGATGATCTCTGAATAAAGATGTGAAAAATGGTTGGTTTGGATCGTAAAATGTTTTTTTTTTCTTTTGTAGGGTACCCTAAAGGGTGTCCCTCAATAGAGTCAATGACAGGGGGCAGTCCGAAGTGTAGGTCTTCTCTCCTAACTTTAGTGAGGATAAGTTCGTATGTAATTTAAAAAGAAAAAGAAAGAAGCTAGACTCTTATTCATATTGGTCTATGGAAAGATAAAAATAGAAGAAAAATTTGTCAAATGTGGACAAGTAGACAAGTAATGAACTTAATTATTTTTATCAAATGTGAGTTCGTCTTTCCAGCTCGTCTCAAACACGTTATAAAGAAAAGTAGAATTACAAGTCACAATAAGAAGAGAGCCACATATTTATACGCGAAACAGGACCACATCAATGATCTGGTTCTGCTAGTAATTGAATGAATCATGCATGGAATTAAAAATTTGGAAGATAAAATATTGATTGAATTATATATGCATAAAGTTAATTTGGTAAAAGCTTGAATTCAATTCATATAGGCAGCCTTTGTTTTTCTTCTGGTCTGAAATGAATTTCAATGAAGTGGGGAACTTAATTAGGTAAGACTTGTGGAAATTTGGTTTGGAAGCATGAATTAATGTGTGAGTGGCTCCACAAAAGACTTTACCTTCTCAGATGTTGCACATCTTGAGAATCCCCAGTTCCACAAGAAAATCAGTCATAGTTTTAATCTAATTGGGGTTTAATAATAGGCCTGACCGTAGATCACGGGAAATTATTGATTGACTTGACTTGAGATGGTAATTAATGTGCCTTCCCGTGTCC